TTTTTCTCTGCTTCTTTGAACCATAGCTTGCAGCTACTATATATATAAATGCATGTATCTTGATATAAAATATTATATGTATTTATAATGTAAACTAAATAAATAAAATATTTTCAATTCTGAAATAGTAAAATGACATATAAAAAATCTGAAATTGCAAAAAACTATTTTTACAAAAGCATTTGCAAATTTTCTATGTGCCAGCTCATTATTCCAGAATTCAGTATGATATTTGAATTAGCTTAGATTATGGTTATAATTTCATAAATATTGCCACTGAGTTAATGCAACTTATAGTGCATAATTTGGGTCTTGGTCTTGAACTTTATTTGCCCTTGCTTTAAATGATTCAAAGTTTATTTTTATATCTTTATATACCGTCTTAGATATTATATAATTAAGTCTAAAATAGGTCAAAGGAATGAGAAGATGTACAATGCAATTTTTTTTCATGTTAGCATTCATTCATTTATTTGTTTGATATATTTTTAGTTTTAAATATATATTTGGAAAGTTGTGTGCATACAAATGTATGTATGTTGATACAAAATGTTTATTAGATATTTATACATGTGAAATTATGATTTAGTTAATATCTTTCCCCAACAACACTTTAACGTAAACATCTAGCAAATAAGATCAGTTAAATAAGTACAAATTCCTTTCAAGCGCCTGCCATACTTTCGCCCCCATAGTACGAGAGAAAGTGACAGAGGTCTCCCTATGACATCCCGATGCGGTTGACCATCCAACGTGTTTTCCCTCTATGCAAATATTGTTGATTTTACTAACCTTGCCTGCTGAGTTTTAGCTGCCCTTCTTCACTCACCTCAAACGATTTTCAAATTAAAACCAGTATGCAAAGAAGCAAATATGCAAGTTCCTGACGAAATTCATTCTACTTGAAATGCTAGTGAAGTATGAAGCATAAATCTGCTATCTAAGAATCAGTTTTTGCTGTTATTTACACTTGAAATTTTTATTCTGCAGTGTGCTTTGCATACAGTTTTTGACTTTACAGAAAACTTTAGCTGCACAATTAATGATTTTCACACTTAACTATTTCATAAATGGTTATTAATATATTAATATTTCCAATGTAATACTATATTAAATTATGTTTTCATTTTAAAAGTCTGGTAATACATTTCCATAAATAATTTCGTAGATGTAATGTTTATTTTTATTAAAAAAAGTCATCACAGAGAATAGCGAGAATGAAGTGCAGCCTTCGCAGTGATCATCCTCTCAAATACTGACCACATCCTTGACTGCTTAGTTTTAGGTGAACGGTGAAGGACACGATTCTTACCTCTCATCTAGCGGAGCATCAAGTATGCAATCAAACAAAGACATAGGTGGACTTATAGCAACTAGTTATTAATAAGAAATGTTAAATAAGATAATTTAGTGCTTACAAAGATGTTTTCAAGCTCCTTAATTGTACAAAAGAATTTGATAAAATTTGTACACGTGCTAGTGTTTTTAACTGTTTTGGAATAAGATTTAGGTTTTCAGATAGGAGTAAATTTGGAACTGCTTCTGTTAAATGTTACTTGTTTTTGTTACGGGAAAGTTTTTAGGATTGCCCATTTTTTGTGGCTAGCATTTTTATTATGCTGAAAAGTGGTGGATTTGATGAAGTTTGGTTTTTAGACATTTGGGGCAGCCATTGATTCTTAAAAGTAAGGTATAGAATCTGCATTGCCTATGAAAACTTTATATTGAGATACTTTCAGATGTTTCAGATTGCTGTAATAGTTTGGTCTACAATCTTAAAATAAAATGTTCCAATGACAGCTTCCATTCAATCCTTATTACAAATAATTTTTTTATTACCTTCTCATGTCATGAAACGGATTTTTAATTAAAAGAAATCTGGCAACTTAAATGTTATTTCTAACATTAAATAAATAAGAATTAGAAGCTTTATAATTTTTAAATTATTCAATATAGCATTCTGACAGGTTCATAGATGCTGCTGGCACTTTTGGATCACATTCATAGATGAATTTTAAGGCTTGCCTTCACACCTGTAAAGTTTATTAATGTCTTACACAATTTTGACTCAATTCTTCTCTGTAGTGTTGCGGTGTCACTGAAGCTTTACTTCTTCTCCGAATTCAAATTTTTTTATCAGGACTGTAGTTTCACAGTTTCATGACACTTTTGCTCAAGTTGATTAGGATTCTATGATAGATATGATGGGTCCAAGATGGCCACACTGATCACCATGCAGGATCTCAGCAGCCCTGGGCCATCAATGCCTGAAAGGACAGACATGTTCTCTCAGCTTTGTCGGATCATACATCACATACCCTGAGTCAGTAGCTTGGCTTGTGAGCAGGACGACAAGTCTCTGTGTGGAATGTGCAACATTCTGCAACACCTTGGACTGCCATTATGGTGATATTACTGCTGCTTCCCTTGATACACTGCAGCCAAGATAGGCATGCCTACACAGGTGTGATGAGTGACAACAGTGGAGACAGAAGGGCACCATATGATCTTTTCCAATGAATCAGTTCTGCGTACAGTATCATGATAAACATATCTATATGTGGAAGCACCAAGGAGAATTAACACTGGCAGCTTGTATTTGTCATCATCATACTGGCCCAGCACCAGGCATATGCATATGGGGGGCCAATGGGGTACATATTCCCTTTCACCTCTTGTTTTTTCTGACATGCTAAGGACCTTGGCTGTGCCATATCTTTTGAGGCCTGTGTGACACAATCTTTCAACAAGATAATGCATGATCTCATGTTGTTTACACTATATTGAATACAGGATATTCAACTGCTGCATTGGCCTGCACATTCTACAGAACTTCCACACATTGAGAACATTTGGTCATGGGTTGCGTAGATACAATTAATTAGGTCATTATAATTTAAGAATTCCGACACATCTGAAGCCACATAGCCATATCTATGTCAAATAGCCAAATCTATGTCATCTAAGCTCACTCTGACTTAATACCAAATTTAATTACAGCCATTGTTGCTGCCAGAGGTGGTGGCAACTCCGTGTGCTTAATGATGCACATTGTGTGCCCCAAGCCATATGTAAATTTAATTGGGTCTTTCTCCCATTATATTGTATACATACAATAAATGATTCTGCTGTTTGCTTTCCTTTCTGATGTAGCGATTTTAATGGACAGCAGTAAGCAGATTTTAATGGACAGCAAATCATGAAACGTAAAAGTATATATTCATATGTAAAAAAAGACTTGCTTCTGATGAAGGAGAAAATTATATGTATCCCTCAAAATTAGCCAAAAGACATTCAGCTCCTTTTAGTGAAATTTATAAATTACTGCATAAATGCCCAGATTAGCTCCATCTATTAAAGACACTAGTTACAAGTACACTGGTGTGCAAAAATTAAGGACGAAGTCGAAAAATTAGCATATCAGCTGAACGAAGAGGCAGAGTGGACAGAAAGACCAGTCAGGAGATTAAGTAAGGTGATGTACGGTAGCACATGCACAGATATGTAGGTAGACGTAATGGGGGAGTGTCTGAGTAGTATAAAGCATGTTGTCGGTGTAAGATCAGTATTTCTGGCAAAGAGATTGCACGCCGTATAACAGTTAAAATCACACCGAGTTGCTGCCTCAGCAAGAAATGGCGAATAATCAATCTGTTAGACGACATCTGGATGCTTTTACCCGAGGTCGAATCATTGGGAAGTTGGAGGAAGGCCGCAGTGTGACAAGTGTGGCTGCAGAGTTCAGAATTGCTCACAGCATCGTTTCATGACTTTGGAGACAATTTCAAACTACAGGAACAGCTATCCGAGGGTTTAGTAGTGGTCGTCCACGAGGAACCACACCCGCAGATGACCGGTATATTGCCTTACAGGCCAGAAGAGACAGGCGGCAGACAGCGGGAGAAATCTTCAAACACACGACACAGGCAACTGGACGACCGATATCGCGTTTTACCATGGCCAGAAGACTGCACGGTGGTGGTCTGTTTGCACGACGCCCTGTACGGTGTGTACCTCTAATGCCTGCCCATCGGAGAAGGCGTTCTCTGTGGTGCCGGGAACACCAGAATTGGAGAGACAATGAATGGGGACGAGTACTCTTTACAGATAAGAGCAGATTCAGTCTGAGTAGCGATTCTCATTGCATACTCATCTGGAGAGAGTGGGGAAGCCGCAATCACCCCTCAAACATCATTGAAAGGGACAGGTATGGAGGTGGCGGTGTTCTCGTTTGGGGAGGCATCATGCTTGGTAGTCGTACAGACCTTCACATCTTCAACGCAGGTTCAGTCAACGGGACCCGTTATTGTAACGAGATTCTTCTTCCATATGTGCGTCTTTTTAGAGGCGCTATGGGTCCGCAGTTCCTTTTCATGGACGACAATGCACCATGTCATCGCACAGTAGCTGCCGAACAGCTCTTAGAGAGTGAGGATATTGAACGTATGGATTGGCCGGCACGATCTCCGGATCTCAATACCATCCAGCATGTATGGGTTTTCTAGGCAGACGCTTGGCAGCTCGTGCCTTACCACCAGTAACGATTCCGAAGCTTCGATTGGCGCTGCAAGATGAATGGGCAGCAATACCTCAACAACTCATTGACACCCTCATTCTCAGCATGGGCAGATGCTGTGAAACCTGCCTAGCAGTCAGGGGAGATCATATCCCCTATTAAAGACCGGATGTTTCTTGCTGGACACCCATCACAGGGATGTTTCAGCCTTCAGTCGCATTGCACTCCCTACTACTTTTTCAATAAAGCTTCTTTTTATCCCTCTGATTTCTCTTTTAGTAAGTATTGCTTACATTACTCATGTCCTTACGTATTGGGGATCTTACGATATTAAATGTGTTTATTTGGAAAGCTTTTGTACAAAGTTATATTGAAAAAAACCATCTCGTCTTTAATTTTTGCACACCAGTGTATATACAGATAGCAATTAAATAAAAAAAAAAAAAGATGAAAGAATTTTTGTTCCAAATTAAAAATCACTCACTTGCTAGTTTTTCGGTAATTTTCCTTGTGTGGTAAACATTCAGCAATAGTTCGGCCATCAGCATCATATACAACCTTTACTCCACCAGCCACATCTTCAAAAACACGACCTAAATTGATGCCTTCAATTGTTATGTTGGTACCACCTTCCCATGGTCCTGACTCGGGATAAAACTAAAAAATACAATAAAAAATACAAAATTACAGAATTGTCAGAATAGGAGGGGAAAACTTACAAAGAAAAAGGTTAAATAAGTGCAGTCAGAGCCCTTGTAGAGCTATGGTAGATATTTTCCCAAGACGTCTGGTCCCACTTTTTACAACAACAGCTCTGACATTAAACATAAGAATGATATCATGGTCCCTAAAATCTGAAAACCTAGGCTCAGCACCATTACATAATTTTATCAGTATCAAACTGTATGCATCTTTATTCAGATTGGACAGTCTTCACTAAGCCAAAAATGTTTACAACAGTGAACTGGTATAAAGGTGCCAGTATTGAGATCCAAACCAGATTTTTGTTTGTTTTATTACAGTAGCACATTAAAATCCTACTTACATAGTGATAGCACCTTTATGAAGGCTGCTTATTTCTAGTTACAGAAAATACTTTCATAATAGTTTATGTTTTCATGCTGTGGTGAATTTGTGCTTCATATTATGTTTAATCCTGCACTGTGAAGGTCCATGCATTAATAAACACTGAGCAGTCTACAGTACACATTCACACCTTCATGTTGAGGCTAAAAAATTAAGGAAGCCATCCTTAGAATCAGATGTTGTGGGCCTATGAAATAACCATACACAAAAAAGGCACATCAATATCATCTACATATGATCAAGATCATCGCCAGGGATTTTCTGCAGGAAACAGGCCCATATTTGCATTGCAGAAGAGTAAACCATCTCATATAGCCAATCTGTTCAGAAACGAAACTCAGGAAATAGAACTTAAGATGAATTACACATCGTCTGTGGCTTTAATCACTTGGAAATCTGTCAGCTAAGAATTCCTAGAACTGAGCAAAATGGCATGAATATCTGCAGTATATTATGCAGAAGTTAACCCTTTGCGGCACAGTGTGTTCGGTCTAGAAACACCTAAAAATTTCCTTCTGCATGCACAGAAAAATTGAATGAAAAAGGATTTATAGGTTACTATAGTTTACTCTGAACATTCTTTATTTATAGCAGATGGCAGCTAAACACAAATCAGTCCATATATCTTAGCCATGTTTAGTTTTTTAAGACCCTCATTTTTTAAAGAAATCTTCCAGATTTTTTTAGGGTATAAAAGGAATTGTTTGAAAAGAAATTTCTATTTTTTTTTTTTTGGGCTGTATGCTAATCTCCTTATTCTATATTAGTTTTAAATTTTTACCTTGAAATCTTGCCTAAAATTAAATGGTGAACCCTAGGTGTGCCCAGACTGGGCTCACCGATAATCTAGGACAACTGAGACATTGACAACAATGCTCGTTTCAGCACTCTTTCGAAGCCCACTTTGGGCACACCCACAGAATTAAAAGATAAGTGCTATCTTCACAAAATTTTACTTGTGTACTCCTCGAGGCCTAATTAGTCTGCCTACCCTTTTTTTTTTTTTTTTTTTTTTAAATCAAAACTCCAACTTTAAAAGGTAGCATGCCAGAAAGAGTTAAATGCTAAGTCTTCAGAATTAATGACCAAACACAGCGATCACTGCTCAATTTTGTTTTCATAAGAAACCACCATTTACCTAAAAGTGACATAACATTGATTCAGCGTAATTTAATTTACTTTTTCAAAAGATGATCCACTAAAAATATAATTATATATGCTAAAAATATAATATATATAATATCATAAAACAATTTCTTGACACAAAATTGTACTTTTCCTGAAATGACATTCCACATTTTTCCATATTTCCATTCTACGACTCAAATTATGCCTAATACCAAGTTTTGTAAAAATCGTGTGAGTAGTTTTTAAAAAATTAGCTCCCAAAATTTTAGATCCTCAATGTTAATTGAATTTGGTATATATTTATTAATCTCTCTTTTTTTTATTAAATTTATTTTATTCTTCCTTTCACATTTTAAAATTCAGGTTCATTCCAAATAAAATTCACCTTTTTTTATTATTTATTTTTAAAATTTGTATTTTAAAATCATTTTTACAAATTTTTTGGAAAAGATTTTGAATTATAATCTATAAAATGTTTATCATCATCTTAAAGTAGACGTATTTCCAAGCATACCTGCAAAACATTACAGTTTTTTTATTCAAAACTTCCGAAGATATACATATATGAATTTATATATTGGAATATTCTGAAATTTGGCATATTTGTTGACAGGGATAAAACATCAAATGTGGTTTAGACACTATGTTAAAATTATTTGAAAGAAGGAACAATGCGATTTTCTTTCCGCTTATGCATAATGTAAAAAGGTAGGAATGAAAGGTGCCTTTTCTTCCGTCTGGCATAATGGAAGGGAAAAGAAAACTGGTTACCATATATTAAGAAGTTCGCCAAATTTTTGAACTTCTTTGTAAATTTCCCACCAAATTTTACAAAATTTAATATCCAGGCAGAAATTGAGTCTCAGAATCGAAATATGGAAACAAAATGGTATGTTATTTCAGAAAAAGTCCGCATTTTCGAAACATGAAAAACACAATTTGAATTTTGTCAATCTGCCCAGTAGAACGGGAGATATAGAACTGTCCCATTTTTTTCGCAGTGTACATATTTACAAAAAGGTACCATGTGACTTTAATGGTCAATAAGCTTATCTAATTATATTAATTTCTTAAACTGATGCATATGACTGCACTCAATAGATATTCAACATTAGAATCTTTTTTAAACTCCTAGCATAAATAACTTTACGTTATAAATAATACCTATTAAAAATATATCCCAAAAATTTTGCTATAGGAGTAAGGTCTGAAATATGACAAAAATCAAAATGATGACCTAAAATTGGAAAAATAATGCCATTTTTCTGAACAATTGAATTTGGGTTATTCCTACCAAAAACCTAAAGTTTACAAGCAAAGTTTTGCTGTAGTATACAATAATTGAACATAACTGAAATCTTACCCTAGTTATTTTTGGATCAGGGCATGTCTGACTATGGTCAAGCCACTGTGTTGGATCAGTGCTGCACTGTTCATGTACCTGGCAAGATGATGGTGGATCTTGACACCACCCACAAGAATATTTATCCGGAAGTTCCAAGCATATTCCACAATTTTGCGCCATTCCTTGACATCGATACACTAACACTAATATGGGGAATGACAAAAAGAATAATGATTTATATTATTAGATGCAAATTGAGGATGATAGAACACAATTTTTATTGCACTCTGAAAGACTAAAAAAATAGCAATGTCATTTACATTTCACTACATTCATTTGCATACTATAAATTTCTGACATTAGGTAAAGTGATGCCGCATTATAAATTCAAGACTACTTTTGAAAAATATAAATATTTACAATGACCAGAAAATTCGAATGAAATGGAGACTATGCATGAAATTTTGTAAAGCAAATGCGACATGGAAAAATAATGTTAATTCGAAATAACATTAGTAACGAGAATTTTAACGTTAGTAACGAAAATTTAGTTCATAATCTTTATTTTGCATATCCTATAAACTTCTGTGATATGAAATACAGAATATATTGCATGTACATGAATATGTTTGGAATGAGCTAAGTACAGTACCCACCTCCATGGCGTTATATAAGAAATGAGTTATGTAAAACTTGATATTACTTGAATTTTACGTAAGTAAAATTTGTGAGTTGCTTACATATAACTTTATAAGAAATTACGAATTTAAAAAGTCTTGCAATAGTTAATTTGGCTGTGTAGTGGAAGAGTTGGCACTGTAGGTGGAAGGTTGTGAAGATGTAGGCTGTTCTCTGATGACTTCCGCCACTCTCTACTTTCAAGCTAAGCATATTTATTGTCATATAAGTCATTATCTTGATGTTTCTTCAGAAATATGCCTGAAGTAGATTGTGTGGTAACATGCTTTCTGTCATCATAGATGGTCTTGCAGCTGGACTTGCAGCTGGATTCACACATATGAATTATTTGCAGCTTTGCTTTTAAAGTAATTTGCAAACTTTTCTTTCTTAGATTTATTTTGAACATATTCGGCTGTGTATTTTTAATATATGTTGATAAACATATGACTAAATTAACCATGCTAATATTGTATGAATACAAGACGTACAAGTTGGGTAAAAGATGAATTATTTATGAAGTCTTTATTTCCATGAGGTAACTATCAGTTTCAATTTGTATGTTAGAGCTTTTGTGCAATTTGCTACACAGCAAATATTCATATGTTCAATATTACACAGTTCGGAGGAGGGGGTTACTACATTCAAGTTAATATCTCACTATCTATGAGTTATCTGAATTGGCTGGCAAGTTATCACCTTTTCAGCTATTAAATTGTCGACACGAATACAAGTCAAGTTAAAATAAAGCAAAGCTTTATTGATTCATTCCTGGCAGCTTACAAATTAAAATGTTAATGCCAACTAAACCATCTGACCTGTTGCTGCTAACCTAGTGAAAGAAAAGTCGGTTGCCATAAACTTCAGCCCAGAGTCAAATCTCAGAAATGGCATGGATGGTTAAATGTACAGTGTCTATATGGCATAGGAGCACTTAAAATACTCTTCCCTACGATGATTCTGCCTCAGTGTGAAGCTGGGCAACAATAAGCACAACCCTCATCTTTTTGGCATTTTGGTCTAGTCAGAGACGTGAGATAAGCCTACCCATCCTCATCATCGAGATTCAAATTATTTAAAACAAAATCCAAAAAACAAGTCAAAACTACAACATCTGATCAGTTACTTGATACTAGACTCAGAGGGGGGGACTTACCATAGATCAGCCATTAACTCTTACAGCTGTTGTCATATACAGCTGGAAATAATGATCAGTCAGGTTAAAGTGACAATATAGCAAAAGCTCCAACAGACTTACATTTAAGATTTCATGAAAAAATTCACAAAAGATAAAGGTAACTGCAAATATAATTATGATTGGTGTATTACTTATAGAATTCCTTAATTGATGAAACAAAGAGGATTAATTTTGTAACTATAAATTAATTCACAATAGGTAAGGAAAAAATACATTTGGTTGTAAATTTATTTCTGCATCTTCTCACAAATTTTAAATGTGATATGAAACTTTTGATATAATTAATCAAAAATTACTAAATATTCAGAGAAACTTTTCAAAAATTATAGAAATACCTTTTTTCGGAATCCCCATAACCCAAATTATGAAGACTTTCCATTACCTTATTTTGAGTAATTTCTTTAGTATATGTATGTCTGGGCACAAGTAGGTGTCAACACTGATGAATATATATACACACACACACACATATCAACACATTTTTTGAATGGGATATGAACATTTTTTAAATCACTATATTGCCTGTGAAAAGATAATGAGCCTGCAGATTCCTTTCGCCTTTCAAGGTGTGGTGGTTCAGAATATCATGCATTTTTCATGTAAACTGACAACTCAGATGAATTTGGCTGCGAGAATGAGTAAAAAATGGTCAGTATGCTTGAGTAACATTTAATAATAATGTTAGTTTCATATTTTATAGTGTTAAATAAAACAATGCACAAAATCTAAATGATGCTTTTGATGCATAAAATTTAAAAGCTGTCTTCTGTCTTACTGTTGTTAATTATAACTTTTTTGGGGGGTAAAAGCAGCTTAATACACACTTGAAAATAGAGGACAAAATTATTTGAAGGAAAAAAAAATCCTAGTGATGAATAATCCGTTTCTTTCTATTCAGTATGTAGAGTCATTAGGTTATTTTGAAGAAGGAGATGTGAAAAATATACAGTGCCCTTGCCAGGACTCGAACCCTGGACCTCTTGAATATGTGTCGATTATGCTTCCAATTACATCCTGAGAGCATGTAGAAAGGATGGAGAAAATACTTTATATACTCCTACTTCTTATGGTAACTGGGGATTAAGGGACCTCCAGTCCACAGGTAGTGATGAATTGGTACTAAATCCTGGTGGTGGTGACCATCACCTTTTATTTCAGGTGTCACTGTACATTAAGGTTTTTGATGCTGGAGATGGGGAAAATGTGCAGTGCCTTCAATAGGACTCAAGCCCTGGACCTCTCAAATATGCATTGAGTATTCTTTACACCTCGAAGGCATGTGGAAAGTAGGGGTGAAATACTTTATAAGTAAACCAACCAACATAGGATATGTTAACAATGTATCATATAGGATGCAATGAGTCTATGCAGTAATTTTGAAAATTTCAGATGATTTAGATTTTTCAAAGTTTACTAAATTAATTTGGGGTGAATAAGCAGTTATTACACATACATATTTTTATATGCTTTATATGTATGTAATTCTTCCTGAAATATAATACAAATATCAACCATAAAAAACAGTAACACATAGGCAAGTAAGTACCATGTATGTTTTCTGGGTTATCTAATGGCTTGCTTCCATCCCATATCACAGCAAATGCAGTTGTAATGTTTGGAGCTTGAGTGCCATATGCAAACTAAAATTACAAAACAATATATTTTAGAATTTACAATAAATCCACTTAATTCTATATTAAACATTTAAATAGTAATTAATTATAGATTATAGATCATAATATAAATCATCAGAGCTTTTTAAACTATCATCAGAGCACTTTTTATTCCAGTGATAAAAATTTGTAGCCAGTTTTTCAGCCAGAAAAACACTTTAAAATGTTTTCTGCTGTAATAGCTTAAAATGCAAGAGATTGTCTGGGTCATGAAAAATTTTCATGTACACTTTTCTTATTATTAAATTACTGATATATGTATCTCTAACTGAACCCTGACTTCTAGTAATTATCAAATAATTGTTTATATACATTTATTTATTAGTATTTAATGATTACATCATCTTCAATAAGGAATCTCCTTTCTCACCTGTTTTTAAAGCAATTGTATGCACATTGTTTGCGGCAAACTGTAACTGTATGCATATGCATAGTGGGGCTAAACAGTTTGGGAAAGACTAGCTTAAAAAGTATCTGAATCATTTTGTAGGTTGCTTATTGCTGAGTGTTTTATCAATACTAGAATCGTTTCTAACATTCTAAGGGGTCTGAATTTAATTTGCAGTCAGGGTTCAGGTCTCGCAGTAGGGAAGCTTCCTCAAACTATACATGTTGCTGATGGCAGCATTATTACTTGCGTTTTCGAAATGCCAAATCCATTTTGTCGTCAGATTTGTGCTCAAAAGTAATTCCATTGCTACAAATGCCACTCGTTGCTTTGTCATCCATTGGTATGAACAAACCCATAATCATGTAAACAATCCTTTTACTTAGTACCAATTCATTAATACAAACTATCAAGAAAGGGAATTTTTTGTTAAATTTTGCTGAATTTAAATCACAGTTTATTTTTTGCCATGATTTCATTCAAGACACACAGTATTAATAATGTACTAATAGCAATATGACAGTCTCTGATGTTCTTTATTCATCAATCATAGTGAGGAAAACGAAAATTGATGCAGTACTGCCTGACTGCAAAACCTAGTTTTGGTTTAATTTATGAAGCAGGGAATTTAATGATAGATAGCAACTGGAAAAAAAAATGCTTTTAAAATCATACTAATTTGAAACAACGCATTTCTTAAACCATAGCGGGTTTGGAGCAATATGGAATTAAAATTCAATCTCATTTAGCATACATATTTGAATTAAGAATTTCATAGTTAAAAAAGGTACCATTGATCATCAAAAGCAGTTCCAAAAATTGTAATTTAAATTAGAATAGTGCCGTGTAAATTATTTGCGATTTAGTACAGAAGTGAAATAGCACACTTTACATTAAAAGAAAAGACAAAATACAGTCAAAATTTGTTAATTCGGACACCCATAATACGGAATGATCTATAATCCGATCTCAAAGCTACAAACTTTCTGCACATGCGTCCGCGTTTACGCATGCGCGTTTAATGTATAACGGACGGTATAAGCTAAAATCATCCAATTATCCATTTCAGTTAATGTTGCAGATTGCGTTGTTCCTTAATCTTCGATCTGGATCTGGCTTATTATTTTTTGCAGACTGTTAGAGCAATTTTATAAAAGTAAGCTTGAACTTTCGATTATGTCAAATAGAATTTCTGATGCTGGAGCTCCCAAAGGATCTATAAAGCGAAAGTATGTTTCGATGTCCATCAAACAAAAAGTGGAATTGCTGCAAAAAATGGATAAAGGCATATCCTGTTTCTCTAACCATTCCGAAATCTGTTTATCAATTACACGCTGCTCTGCGGCGGGGAAGGGGGGGAGAAACGCCAAGGCGCGCAATGAATTGGAAGTTGATCTGTCAACACTATACTTATCTTCAGGGCAGATGTTTTTATTTTATTTGGCTTATAATTCCTTACTAAATGTAGTATTTCATATCAATGTACTCCGTCTTTGATATGATTTAAATCAAATTCCTCATCATTATAATTCGCTTTCGATAGTGAAGAAAGTGACACAGAGGTTATTGAAAATGAAAAAATTTCAATTGACAAATTAGTCGGTATTCTCAACACAGCAATTATAGGACTTGAACAGCGGAACTTTGTAACTGAACAAGAAATTATGTCTGTTTATAGAATTAAAGAGAAAGTATTAGGACATAAAACGAAGCAACTTAAACAACTTACATTGAAAGAAATGTTTAATAAAGTAAAAAAATAAATATTAAGCTTTTTTTTTTTTTTTTTTTTGTAAATTTTGATACCCTTTAGATCATAATTGTTCTTTATTTCATAAATTACGGTTTCATATTTTTAATTTTATAATTTTTGCATGCCATCTTACCAGATTTAAACTGATGATCTATAATCCGGAAAAATCAATAGTCCGGAATCGCCGAAGTCCCGACGAGTCCGGATTAACGACTTTTGACTGTACATTTTTGAAAAAAATTTTAAAAAAAAATTCTGATTTTTGATAACAATTTAAGCAATCAAAAGAATAGGGAATATTTTTCTTAATTGGGACAGATTGTCACAAAACCATAAAAATTCTGCTTCAAAGCAACCTGGAGAGAAATCTCCATTCTGACTTACCTTTGACATAAAATTTAGAGTATATCTGACTTAAAGCAATTCAATGCAGCATATAGATACCAGCATACTTAAAAGGAGTTCATACAGCATATGACATTGACATGACATGACATATGGCATTGACATGGTGAATATGCAACTATCATGGAGTAATCATGCATAGGTAAAAAAGTATTATGTCAAATTAAGAATCTTAAAAACTGGAATACTGTTACAATGAAATGGAAATACCTATGGGCATACATATATAAAAATGGCAACATATAATTTCATAAAATGTTTGCATTTCCTGACCAACATAACCATTATTAACTAATACACTTATAAGAAATTTATTAACTTACCACCATTGGATCACAATAAATGGTATCACCCAAAAGTTGAGCATGCACCTGTCGAACTCTTCCCTCAATGTTAAACTGGCACACAAATCTAGTAGATGCAATAATAGGCTACGAAAAGAGAAGAAATCATTAGTACATCCCAATTTAGCAAATGAGTGCACTCTATCTGTATCAAAAAAGCATAAAAATGTTTCAAGTAAAATTATCCCAAATTATGGTGTATTTTACAAAATAATTAAACAGAAAATTTCAAACACTATTTAAATAATGGAAAAACGTGCCTGGATTTTCTCAAACATTCATTCAAAATATCCCTCAGAGCCAAAAAGTCAATTTGGGTTATTAATTATGGTAAAGCACATATGGATTAGAAGAGATTACTTTATGGAGGACATTTTAAGGAAAAATATCTCATATTCTCATGAACACTTCAGAGAAACACAAAAATTCTATGCAATTAGCCCATTCATTTGCTGTCAATGGAACGCACCACGAATTACCATTCTTAGGCGATTTAACAACATAGTCACTGATGGGCTTCAATCAAACCTGATTTCTTTGAAAAATATCAGCGTAACAAAAATACAAGTTAGTTTTTCTTAGAAAATGCACCCACGGAAAGAAATGGAATCCTTAAATCATTTTCAAGCCAATAATACAAAATAAAAAGGACTATATAATGCATCAAGTTTATGAATTATAATTAAGAGACACGGAAAATATTCCTCTGGTAAAAAACCCCAATTTTCATCTTATTTTAAAAGCCAAAAACATATCACTTGAGAATTTTGCCGAAAATAAAATTACATGACTGTAATTTAACTGCAAAGTTTTCTAAGGTTGCTCTGTGAAGTAGCTTAGCTGAAGCAAATGTAGTTAAGTTCAACTAGACTAGACTTATTCACCATTATGGTGGTAACATTTTCCTTTTCGGGAAAGACAGCAGTTTGAATATAGCAATTCCACAAATCCATTTCCAAAATCATTATTTTCTATTAATCTTTTACTTTGTTGTGGATGGCTTGCTCAGTCAAAACATGAGATAATTTAATAACGTAAAGGATAACTCTAGAACGGATTAAGCATATTTTAATTCATAATAGTAAAAAAAAAAAAGACGTTAAGGTTATAAAATCAAAGCAAACTTTTTTTATTTATGTTTTTTCTTGTTGCCAATCCAAAGGGACTAAATTTCGCAACAAGAAAGAATATTATATGTAGAGGGAGCTGCTATCACTCCTTCTCCAGTAACAAACACAGTTACGATACACTCTACAACTTTCAATAACAAAAATTTCAGTGTACATGCAATGTATATAAATGTGAATAGGAAATACATGTATATAAATATAAAAAAATGTATGAAATAGCAATAATGAATAGTATGTAATTAATCTTTGCGATGTGCTGGAAACCTGACATGTCTACCAGAGCATACAGTTTTTTTATGAACATCTGTGTCCAGCAAATTTGATTGTGGTTTTTCAGGTTGTTGATGAGCAATCAGATTTTCATTGGGAAATATTTGTGCACTATCTGACTGCTTGTAATGAGGAGCGCTCGCCTCAGTTTACAGGTTTTAATCTGTCTACAGATACATTGACATTTTTGCCTTTGAAAATCACAGTAAAATACTTGTCGTATCTCTTCAAAACTGGAAAGGATCCATCATAAAGAGTTTCTAATGGTTTTCGAACTCTATCAGTGTGCATGAGGGTGTGTACAATTATGCACGTCTTTATGGACAAAAACTTTTTGAGAAGGATGTCGGCGATTTTTTAACATGTCTCAGTATCCAAGATAACTTTTGGTCTGTCCAAAAATTCTTCAGGTAACCTGATAGGTTTTCCATAAACTATTTGTACAATGATGTAATCTGTATCACCACGCAAAGCCGATATTAGCCCTAAAAAAAAACTGTTGATTAGGTTTGAGTCCATTTAATAGAATTGTGTGCTCTGACTGCAGCCTTTAAAGTTCGATGGATGCTTTCAATTTTTCCATTACATTGTTGATGATATGGTGTTGTTGTGCATACTTTAAATCCACAAGTAACACCAATATTTTTAAAAAGTTTGGATGGAAACTGACTACCTTGATCATTGATTACATGGTATAGCATTCCAAAGCATGAAATCCAGTATCCAAAAATTCTCCAGCTACTGCTACAGCTGTCTCATTTGCTAAAGGAATAACTTCTATACAACATGTGAATAGATCAATGCAGGTAAGGCAGTGCATTTTCCTCTCAGAAGTAGGAAATGGGTTGATGATATCAACATGAATAATATGAATGTATCATCTACTTCTTTAAAAGAGGCAATTTGTGCATGCATATGTCTGTAAATTTTGTTCTTTTCAAAATGGATACAAGATTTTGATCACTGGGTGATATCTCTTGAATGTTTAGCCAAATAAATTTGGAAGTTATTTGTTTAACTGTAGAATTCACATCAGGGTGAAGCTAAGCTGTGAAATTTTTTATAAATATGTGCTTCCAAAACTCTTGAGGTATAAATGGAAGATTTTTTGTATTTGAAATATCACACCAATGTAATTCATCATAAACATTTCAGTAGCCTATAGCCTACACTTAGACTTTAATTATCACATTGCAGAGACATTAGGTATTTTTGGAAGCAGGCATCATGAAAAATGAGCAACGCCTTTGCCGGGAATCGAACCACGGACCTCTGGAATGTGCGCCCAGCATGCAGACCACCACACCACGAAGGCATGCCAAGAAGGCAAAAGAATACCTTATATACTCCCCCTTTTAAAGGGTGACTGGGGTTTTAAGGGATTAAATTGCCAAATCCTGGGTGTGGAGTATCATTATCCAACACCCATTTTAGTTCGGGCACCACTGTAGAGACATTAGGTATTTTTGGAAGCAGGTATCATGCAAAATGAGCAATGCCTGGAATCAAACCACGGACCTCTGGAGTACGCGTCCAGTGTGCAGACCATCACATCACGAAGGCATGCCAAGAAGGCGAGAGAAATACTTTATAACATACTAAAAACCATATCATATATTAGGAATAACTAATTACACACTTTTAAAATGATGCTAATACAGATTTCATTTGCAGATAATTTAAAATATTTTACATTCTAAATTTTAAAATATAACATGGAATATATTTTAATTTTACATTTTGGTGTGGTTTCTGATGAACATTTACCTATTTCAACTTTTCTTACCTACTGTATTCATAATAACAAAAGAATGAGAACTATTTTTACATTTCCAATTAAATGACAGTTGTCAAAACAGAAAATTTTTGCTTTCTACTTTGCTACCTTGATCAATACAGAAAAATTATTGTTCGTGCTTATTTTTTAATTTGCTTACTATACAATCTACAATGAGGAGCCAAAACATTATGACTACGTATTCAATAATGCGTTGTGCAACCTGCAAAACAGCTGCCACTCGTCTTAGAATGGATGCCACAAATTCTTCGGAGATGACTGAAGAGAGGTTGTCCCAAATGGCTAAGCAGTAGTCATGCAAAGTTGATATATACTGACATGGTGCTGTTTGAGATCTGAGCTCCCAAATGTGCTCCATGGGGATAAGATCTGGTGAATTAGGTGGCCAGGCCATTAATTGGAATTCACCCTTATGCTCCTGAAACCACTACAACACAATTCGGACCATGTGACATAGGGTGTTGCCCTGTTGGAAGATTCCATTTGAGCTGGAAAGACAAATGCATATATGGGTGTAACTGATCCATAGTTATGTTCAGATAGTCCGCCACATCTAAAGCTCCCAGAGCTGCCCATGAGAATGCCACCCCCAACGCTTAATACTGCCACCACTAGCTTGTCTATGACGTGCCGTACATGGCAGAGCAACTGTTCACCTGAGAGACAGCATACCCTCACACACGACCATCAATGTGATGAATGAGAAATCGTGATCCATCCGACCAAACAACTGTCTTCCACTTACCGATGGTCCAGTCTCAATGTTTCTGGACCGACTGTAAGTGCAATTGACAATAATGCTCGGTCAACAGAGGCATACGAGTGAGATGTCAGCTGCATAGTCCCATATCCAAACAGTGTCCACTGAATTGTGTTTTCCTTAACACTTTCACTCGGACCTGCATTGTATTGGACTATCAGCTGAGCCACTGTTAGGCACCAATTTTTCTATCCCCAAGCGAGACAGTTGCTGATGTCCTTCTCCTATTTGTAAAACACTGACTTTCAACACCTTGGAATCAACTGCTAGCTTCACTTTCAGTTATCCACAGTGCATAAATATTAACAACAAAAGATCGTGAACAACCTACCAGTCATGCAGTTTTGGAGATATTTGTTCCTAGTCTTCGAGCCATTACAATATGCCAACTATCAAATTCACTTAAATCAGTAGCCTTTACCATCACTCACTCCTTACCTTCCCCAGCAGCAGTTAAATATCATTGCAACTTAAATCACGTGCCCTTCATGTCATCCACAAGAGTTCACTGAAAAATGCGGGGATGGTCATAATGTTTTGGCTCATCAATATAGTTGAACTTTTTTAAACAACATCCAGAAGATTAAAATTTATTGATTTTCACCATTTACTCCTTTGGAGAACTCAGAATTAAAGCTAAGTTAATCAGAGAAGATGCACCGACCTGTATGTTGTCGACTTTAACTTGAATGCGTTTACTTATGCCAGATGGTACTAAAATTTCAATGGAACCACCAGAAGTAGTATTTATTCTTGGGCAGAAACCGGGACCAGATCGTATACTTGGACCTATACTCTAAAATGATGGGAGAAAAAAGAGCTTTCAAAATAAAGAACTTAATGCAAAAAGAATTTAGAACAATATTTATAGAAAAATTTGTACTTACTGATATACCCGTGACTAGTATGTCATTTCGACAATTCTCTCCTGTGTCATGAGTGCATCGATGGCCCCCAACGCACCAATCGCACGGAAAAGGACTGGAGACACACTGAGTACATCTAAAACACAAATACAATGCAACATTGATGAATGACTTAAATAAATGTTACAGAATTAAAGAAACTTATTGCAAAAACGTGAGTCTCGCCTATGAACTATAAAAGGACTATCTCTCCGCAGATGAGTTTTATTCAAATTCTACCTAGCCATTACATTTAGTCTGTTTAAAACAGGCAAGGCCTTTCCAATCCTTTCCCATTCGCGATCATTACAAGTGTCATATCTCCGCACAACACATAACTTTTTCTCCTTCATTTATAAGTCAGCTTGTTCATGCGTTATATATTAACCAATATATATTTACCTGTATTGACACATCGTCGAAATATGCATGGGCTATTCTCCTTAAACAAAAGAGAGGAGAAAATATTGTGAAAGTGTTTCAAAAAATAATGAGTGAACATGCACCAAAATTACACCAAACTGATCAGGGTACCGAATTTAAAAATAAAATGGTTCAAACATTTTAAGAAAGAAATCAAGTGAAGCTTTTCAATACATTTAATACCACAAAAGCATTCTTGGTGGAAAGATTTAATCGCACATTGAAAACAAAGAAATATTTTATGACTTGAAATACATAAATGTAGATAACATGGAAAAATCAATAGAAAGCTTTAATTATATTTTTCAATCAAGTATAAAGCGAGCTCCCAAAGAAATAAATTCAGGTTATGAGAGTGATGGACGGTTTACTTTGTATGGAGATCATCCGTCTCGTGTTTCTAAATGTGCTGTAGGTGTGGGTGATGTGGTGCATGTTTCCAAACTAAAGCTTACTTTTGAAAAAGGTGTAGGATTCACTTTAATTTTCTACCCCGCTATTTCAAGTTAAATGACTTTCCTATCATTTCATTTCCCTGCCAGAATGAAAATTTCCAGGATGCACGATATTGCATGCAGGAATTCAAATTAGGTAGAAAGAAAGAAGTATTTAACGGAATGTTTTGGAGGGTGAAATCACAGCATGCTCTGCCTGCTTGAAGGCCCTTAGCTAAAAGTGTTGGCTTCCGTAAGCATGATTTTGTGCTAACTGTTAAACTTTATTTGATTAAATTAATAATGGATTCTACACACCGCTCTCCTGGTTTGGTTGTACTTTAAAAAGACTTAGAAATAACTCCCTAAACAGTCTTTCAACGTTGCTTACATTTTATGTTAGCAAAGAATACATGACATTACAAAGGATATTAAACAATCTGGACTGAAGAGCTATTTGTGGTTATAGAGTGTTTCAAAAGACATCTAGCATTGTATAGAATTCAAGATTTACTAGGAGACTAAGTAAAAGGAATGTTTTAATGACAAGAATTTCAGAAAGTTAGATTGAAAGAACAATATCGCATTAAACAAATTTAATAAAGCGTGTGCGGAAAAAACAGTCAGGCTACTTTGTACACTAAACAGACAAAATATTACAGTTATCTGACATGTTTAATCAGTGGATTCAAGCTTCTAATTTACTATTGATACAAAGCATGAGGAAGGTTTGTATGCAAATAATTTATATGCTAAAGTGAGTTTCTACATAACACTTCCGAGTGATGGCTCTATGAATTATTTTCCTGAAAATAAAATTTTGCATTTTATGAGACGTTTAACAGTTCCCATTGAATTAAAAGGTATGTAGGAAGTTGGTTTCGTTGAATTACTGTACCTGCATACATGGTATAATGTAAATGCAAAAGTTTAACTTAATTGTACTTGCTTTAGAGAAAGATGAAATGTTAGGTCATAGATTACCCCCAGGATGTTATGAAACAGTGCCTGATATTTGATATTTTAAAAGCTATTTATATTGAAGAACATCAAAACAGAATTTTTAATTATAACCCAGTGACAGAATGAGTGGAAACCAAAGTGAAAAATAACGCTGAAGTGATTTTGCGTGATGGTTTGGCTTAAATATTAGTCTCGAACCTATGGAAATAACATAGACGGATGATAGTGCAGAAACTATTGTCTAAAACCCTTCTACAGCCGACCCCTGTGCACACTATAGTGTATTAATCATATATAAGGAACCTCAAATTGTGAGGGATGTTTTAGCTCCTTTTCTTCAAATCAAGGGTAACTGGTAGAAGTGGGTCAGTGCACTTTATGATACACCTCATTATTTACCTGTGAATCGGAAAATGATAAGCACTTTGGAAATTGATATAAGAACGCATATGGAAACATTTGCTCCATTTGCGCAAGGAAAGCCTTATTTCTATCAAAAATATTTGTCATAATTTATGTACCTTATTAATGTTGTCAAAAATCTTTTGAAGATTATTAACTACAACAAACAGGACATGGCTTTATCGGACAGGCTATGGACTATGGGGTTTATTCAGATCCTTCTTTTCTGCTGCCATACCTTTTATTAAATCAGGAGTGAAAGCAATCGAAAAACAAGCATGGCACAGTGGGTTGAACTTGCTAAACAATATCTTGCAAGGGCAGCCAAGTGCAATCTCGCAAGTGCAAAGTGGCTGCCAAGCTTTGACTCAAAGAAGCCGGAAATATTTTAAAGGGTAAAGTGGCCACTAAAATGATGAGCATGATTGGCTCTGAATGAATCAATAAAAAGCAGAAACGCAGAAAAAAGCACACTGTTTCTCACCGATTAAAGAAGGTTAAAGCACAGGAAATTTTCTCTTAAAAAATATGTCTTCGTATATTCATCGAGACTCTTCCGCCAGTGTCAAATTTGAACTACATTTGTTCAACATTCCTCCTAGAAGGCTATAGAAAAAAGTCAATTTCTGGAATATCACCCCCTCACGAATATACGAGATGGAGGACCTATCGAATTTAATATTTCTGGCAGTGGTGAAGACTATACTGATCTAGCAACTTCCTTTATGCATGTGAAAGTAAAAGAAGTTAAGGCAGACGAAACCAGCCAAACGGTTGGTTGGTTCGTTGAAGTTTTTTTTGGCACAAAACTCATGGGGGTTATGTTGTGCCAAACAAAAGATTATGTATTTTCAAAACTTAAACTAATAAAGACAAGAACACATGCACCATTCAGTGCATACTCACGAGTCATGATTGGAAATTTAAGACAATGTTACATATAGGTATAAAATAGCGAGCAATAAAATCAAACACATAAAATTCTTTTATGAAAAACTAGAATATGGAAAATATTAAATACAGATAGTAAACTCTATAGTCAAAGGATAAATTCTGATGAATATGAATATAACTAGATCCCAGTTAGATCTTCTGAAACTCAAATTGGATTCAGAGCATCCAAATAACGTGATAAAACTTTGTAGCTTTTAGAAAGTTAAAAATGCTAGAATGTGGTTCTTTACCAACTAAATCTTTCGCTGAATCCTCACAGGTATTAAAATAAAAATTTCAAAAGCAATTAAAATTTGGACAATTAATTAAAATGTGTTTAATGGTTAAAATAGTGCTGCATTCAGCACATACTGTTTCAGTTTCGCCCATCAATAGGTATCTGTATGTCAGCCTTGGATGACCGATTCTCAAATCGGGTCAGAAGAACTGGCTCCTTTCGGTTTAGGGCCCATTTCCAATGTTCTATTTTATGTTTTATATTTTGTAATTTAGTGGTTAACAGCACATCCCAAAGCTTTTGCCATTTCATTAGAATTTTCCTCCCAAGCAGAGTGTTAATATCTGAATAGGGAATGGATGTCTTACAGGCAGAGATATCCGCCAGTTCGTTTCCTTTTTATACCAACATGGCTTGGTACCTAACAATAAAGGATACGGTAACCTTTGGCCTTGAAGCTAATATTGAGCTTTAACACTTCTACAGTTAACGGATTTGCATTATTCACATACGATTCGAGAGCTTTTAGCACACTAAGTGAGTCTGTGTAAATAATGAAATTTTTCCTATGTTGTTTACCTATGAAAGATAGAACTAAGAATCGATCTCAGCAGTAAAGATGGTACAAGTGAGATGAAGTTTTCTTCCCTCAATAGTATTCCCGTACAAGAAGGCAGAGCCGACGTGATCCTGGGACTTAGATCCATCTGTATACACTGCAACATAGTCATTGAAAGCCTGTCTATGTTCATAGAAAATCTGCTTGTACACATCATCATTGGTGTTATCTTTAGCTAAGTTGGAAAATGTGTTGAGAAGCTCAATGTAAGCATCTTTCCAAGGAGGATTTCCAAATATTTTACTGCTTGAACTTTCACCTCTTAGAAGCCATGTTCTTGCATCCACTGTTGAACGCATAATCCAAAAGCAAGAATACAAGAAGGACATACTTGGTACAGCAAATAAAACTGGATGTCAAGCACTAAGTGGTTGGCTGGATGTCAGGATGCAACACAGTTTTGAAGTGATATTGAAGAGACAACTGCTCGCGTCTCAGCTGAAGGGGTGGCTCGAAACATTCTACATACAAACTCTGCACAGATGATGTTCTGAAAGTTCCTGAAAAAATTCTCAAGGATTGATGGTAAACAGGATCAAGTGTTTTTACCATAAAAGGCCATGCCAATCCATAGGCTATTGATCCGCAATCGAGTTTGAAGCGAATAAGAGCTCTGTAAATTCGGAGCATAGAAGTTTTATCTGCTCCCCAGGAGGTATTTGATAATACTTTCAAAATGTTTAGTACTTTTAAACACTTTTTTAGATATGGGGCATGGGAAAGAAAGGTGAGTTTCTTATCAAATATTTCTCCTAGAAATTTAACTTCTGCCACAACTGGAACTGGTGAGCTTTCTAGAAAGATTTCTGGATCCAGATGAAGATTTCTTTTATGGCAGAAATGGACACAAACTGTCTTTTGATTAGAGAACTTGAATCAGTTTTTATTTGACCACATAACTATCCTGTTAATAGCAATCTGCAGTTGTCTCTCAATGCACACACGTCTAACGGATAAAGAACCAGTTGCATCTGTGAATTTATTTTAACATTCTCTCTTTTCACACATCGATGTAAGTTTAAATGAAAGAAACATTTCATCTGCGATTAATACCTACCACTAGACAGCCCTCATCGAAACATTAC